ACTCATTGCCTGAACCAAACCATTGAACTTATAAATCCAAGACTCTTGAGGCCTAATTGTTCCTCATATTTTTTTAGCTACCAGATTTGTGGATTTGTTGAGGTAGTCTTAGAGGAAACAGTCAATCTTTTTAGGCCTATTTGGGATTCTCAGGCTTATTAGTAACTAACACGGGGCTCATTTTCCCTCTAACCTGAGTTACATTTGGCATTATCAAGAAGCCTGATTTGGAGTACTTTATTCTCCGTGTCAGTCACTCTCTGGTGACCTGGTGGTAAGAAGCTGCACTGCAATTCCAAAGGTAGACAGTTCAAATTCACCAGCTGCTCCATGGGAGGAGGATAGGTAGTCTCCTCCCATGTGATCAATGGCCTCCAAAAACCCACTGGAGGATCAGCAAGTCAATGACATACAACAACAATAATATTTTATACTTTTCTTTATCCAAATGCATTCCATGTTCTATTGCCTCAATAGTATGAGAAATCAACAGCATGCAGAAAAGTAAAGCAAAAGGGCAAAACAAGAAGTATATGGAAGGAAGGAGTTGATTTTTAAAATTACACAGGTGCACACACACACAGAGGAGAGAGAGAAGCATTTATTTTATTAAAGAAGAGCTGTCTAACGTTTAGATCAATGGTGAGGAAATGAACAGGAAAAGAAATGTTGAATTCATTATTTTCTCTTTTCCTCAGCCTATCTTTGCCTATTACAAAACTCAACCACTCCTCACCCTCCCCTCATTGTACATTCTCCTTAGAATTATTGGCAATCATTTTATTTTAACTGAATTTGACTCAGAACTTTTAACCTCGTTCCTGTAGACAGATTTATTTCTACAGTAGATTTACCAACTGCAACACCAAAGCCACTGCGGTCAAGTTAACTTCGACTCATGGTGACCTGAAAGGACAGAGTAGAATTTATCTACAAAGTTACCAAAGCTTCACATCCTTATTGGAACGAGCACCTCATCTATCTACCATGGGGTGGGGGTGGGGGCAGGCAGGTTCAAACTGCCAGTCTTCGGTTAGCAGACAAGGGTTTTAACTATATACCACTAGGGGTCTTACAGAACTAGATGATACGGAAAACCAATTCTGCCTTCTACTATCAAGATCCCATGTAAGGCTGTTAGGTGGGGAATGATGGGTTTGGTTTAGGGTATGGACTCTGGAATCAGATAACTCACAATTCAAAACCAGTTCCAATATTTACTAGTGAGACAATTTTTCTAAGTGTAAGTGGTTTCATCTCTAAAACAGGTGTAATCAAGTATTGCTTTCATAGGGTTTTTAATGAAGATTAAATGAGACCATCCACATAGAGCATTTAGAACCATGTCTGGCACATATCAAGGGCTTGATTAATGTGAGCTATTAGAAATATTATACTGCCTCTGAAATGCTTCTCAGCCTTTAGCAGTATCTTAAAGATTTCCAGGCATGGCAACAAGGCAGTGTAACTCCCAAGGGATAAAGGTAAATGTGTGAGGGTGGCTAAATTAGAAGGCAGCTTGCAAGACTACAAGCTATCCATTTATTTTAAAAATCTGTTGTATTTCTGCACAAGGCCATAAGTCTTGTATTTGAATGACAACAGTGGTTCTCAAGGGCAGAAAGTGTTCCTGTCCCCTAGGGAGACATTTGACAACATGCGTAAGCACTTTTGATTGTTACAACTCAGGGCTGCTACTGGATTCTGTTAGGGAGAGGCCAGGGACACTGTTGAACAATCAAAGAAGCAGAGGCCATAACAAAGAATTATCACAACAAAGAATTATCTAGCCTAAAATGTCAACAGAGCCCAGGCTCAAGAAATTGAATTAGAGCCGAGTGTGAATCTGTTTTAATAAGGCTTGGTGCATTTTTCAATTTTCAAAAAGTCGACGGCGTGAAGGATTCTGGCACTTGACGTGAGGAGAGAAGGGGTGACCTCTAAGAACCCTCTAAGGCTAGATTTATGCCATGGAGCCTCCACCTCAAAATTGTATCAAGAGGGCATATTCACCCTTACTGCTTTTCCTGATCCCTTTGCCTATAGTAAATTAAGTTTTTTAAAAGGTGGCTAGTGATTAGAATGCACCCATAAGTCATTATAAGGTGGAATGTTTCTTGCAAAAAGAAGACTATCAGTGGGAATCAGATGTTCGAGAGATGGAAGAAACCTTAGCAATGACATAGTTAGTAGATTTGAGTTGAACTCTCTCATTCCACTTCATGGCTAAAGAAACCAAGTCTTGTAAAGGTGAAGGAACTTGGTCAAGGGCGCATAGTGCTGCAAACACTAAAGGATCCAATTTTTCCTGAAAGTCTATGTAACACAGTGATACAAAGGGCTCACCACAGGTGTCTTCACGCACTTGTTCCACCCCCCCCACCCCCCCACCCCCAGTGATCATAGTTCACACCAGTTCCTAACACTGGAAATCCCCATTGCCTGGCTTGAAGATTCCTGGTGCATCCAGATGAAAACTGCACTCCACAGGGTTTTCAAAGGTGTGACTTCTCAGAGGCTTACCGTGGCCTTTCTTCAAAGACTCCTCTGGGTGAATCACGAACCTCTCAATAAGCTCTCACTCTTTCTCATTGCTAATAAGTAGAAGTTGATTCATAGCTGACCCTGCAGTGGGCTTCTCAGCCTGTACATCCCACCAGAAGGGATTGTTCATCTTCCTCCCTGGGAGCCACTGGTGAACCTGAACCACCAGCAAGGCGAGGCCACTAGGTCAGCAGCACAACTCCCTATGTACTCTGCCTCCAAAATTCTGTAAGTAGTTGCGTACTCACCAAAGACTCTTTTTAAAATATTTCTATTATTATGCATTCATTCATTCATTCATATACACTTTCATCCCTCCCCTGGGATTCATAAGACAGGCACAGTGAAAATAGAAACGACTAAACTCAAACCCATGGCTGTCGAAACAGAACTGACTCATAGCTGACCGTCCAGGAAGTTTTCAGACACTGTGTGTCGCACTAGAGGAATTTGCCCTTGCTTTTTCCTCAGAGCCTCTGGTGAGTTTGAGTGCCTTTGGTTTAACAGTACAATTCCCTATCGACTATGCCACCAAAGCTCCTTAATAAAAGAATAAATAAAAGATTCAAAGAAGTGGTATTGAGGCAAAATGACAAAACCACCTATTGATTAAGTGACAGCGACTGATGAAGGAGGTGGTCAGCAGAAATGACTCCTAACTGACACTCCAGGTTGTTTTCAGAGGCTGTAAATTACATGAGAGGAGAGTGACTGTCTTTTTCCTTTGGTGTAGCTAGCAGATTTGAAACATCTGTCTTTGGGCTGGCAGCACAATTCTTTATCCACTGGGCCACCAGAGTCTAAAAAGATGACTTCATTCCCCAAACTAGGTGACATGGAGGATGGTGGGGGTTCAGTAACAGGAGGAGGTGGTTTGGAATAGTACATTGTATATGCTAGTTTTCAAGTGCTTTCCATGGGTCTAGGAAGGGGATGAGAGGATACACACACAGAGTGAGGGAGTCCAAAAGAAGACCCGTTGAAGAAACCACGTCAGTTTTTTGGGTGGGCAGTCATTATGTCCTCCGAAGGAGGAGTGCTGTGAGTGAAATCTGATTACCCAGAGGAACCCAAGGCACAGTGGTCCTCCAGCCACAGCCTCTGCTCCACACAGTGCTGGCCTGGGCACTGCCAGAAGGTCCTCTTGGTGCTAAAGTGCTACAATTCCCCTAACACTCTGCTGTAGCAAGATAACACAATAAAGAACTTTCTCTTGGAGGAAATGATGCATATATAAGGGAGCACTTAGAATAAGAAAGCATGAGAAAAAAAGGGGGAAATTGTAAAAAAACACCTGAAATTTCTGCAAAACCTGCTTAATTTTTACTAATTAAGCCCACATCTCTAACTTCCTTCACAGGAATGGCTCCTCACAATTCCATAAGGGTCATCCCTGTTGCTGCCTTTCCCCCCTTTGTTTCTAGGGCACAGCATCCATCACCAGTGTCCCATCTTTTTCTATCGATGTTCACAACAGAACACGTCCACTTCTCTCTCTAAGTCAGTGATGCTCAGAGGATTAGGGTGTCAGCATGCCTTGACCCCCCCGCCCCGGGGTCACCCACTGCTCCAAGACCTGGAGAGTATGCTTAGTAATATCCAGTCTAGGTGAGCAAACACACAGCACTGCCCTTCCCTCAGAAAAGGTGCTTTTGGTTCATGTCCACACTTTAAGAAACATTTTAGTTCCTTTTAAGGGTCCCAAACCAGAAAACATTTCCTGTTGTCAGCAAACTCTAGGAACCCCAGCACAGGTCAACGCTTCCTTCACCTTCTGCCAACTGCCTTCTTCCCAGTTATCAACACCAGAACCACTTCCTCCAAAGCACAGTGCCCGCAACGACCAGCAAGCGGAGGGAAATGCATCTGAAACAGGGATCAAGCTTCTGTGAAAGGCAACTGCAGGACGTCAGGACAGGCAGTGACCGTGAACGCTGCATGCAGCACAGCATGCCCACACACTTGCGGTCACGTCCACTCTCAGCCAGTTACACACTCATGACAGGCAGAGCCCATCACAGGCACAGACACACAGCACACGCTCGGTCTCATAGCCAGGACCATCCGCAGAGTCCCATACACACATCTGGGAACACAGGGCTATGAGAGTACAGCTCGTGTTACAGTCAGTCTATCACACATACACACACACACACACACTCCCCACATAAAAGTCCTTATGGCCAGTGAATACACATCCAGTTTATGTGCACTTATGTACACAAGTGTCAGGCACCGGCCCCAGAGCCACAGTGGCCCCACTCTAGAGACACGCCTGGACCACCAGCCAGCCCACCTACACCCGAGCCGCCAAGCAGCCCATCCCTGCAGCAGAGCTGAGTTTCCGCGAGTGTGGAGCCCCTCAGCCCAGCGCCCCGCGGCGTCCTGACCGGCACACGTGGGTCAGGTGTCCCGACCCCCGACCCCCGCACCCTCGGAGCTCTCGCCTCACCTACCCGCTGCCCGAGGCGAGGAGCAGGCGCCCCGCTGACTGAAGCGGCCACCCAGCCCGGAGCCCAGCTTCTGCCGCCGCGCCGCGCCGCGCTCCCAGCCGCCTGCGCCCTCCCCGCCGCCCCCTCGGGTGCCGGCTCCAGCCCCCGCGCTGGGGGGCCCGCGGGCGCCGAGCCTGGGCTGCAGGCAGCGGGACCCCACCGTGGCTCACCTGGGCACGCCTTGCATCGTCTTCCTCGCCGGTTGAGCTGGGCTCCGCGGGCTCAGCAGTCCCCAGTCCGGGCGGCCCCCGCGTTCCAGCCCGCTGCCTCCCCCATTGGGCGCCAGGGAAGGCGGGGGCACGACCCAGGTGACAGGGTACACAGGGGAGTGGGCGCAGGGGAGGCCAAGCAGGACCTCAGTTCCTCAGGGCTGAACCGCCGACGCCTTCCCTGCTCTGAGAGCCGCCCATTCTGTGGAAGTGGACAGGCAGCCCTGGGCTCTCTGCTTGCGTCTGGGTGACCTTGGGCAAGTTGCTTAACCTCTCTGGTCCTCACTTCCTTTACTGAAAGGTAATAAATATGAAGGCAGCTGTGGTGTCTCTGCCAAGGGAAATTCTGTGCTTTGCTAGCTTACTTCCTTCTCATACCAGTCTTAGTTTAGGAGCAGGGTTCAAGGTGAGCTTTTTAGCACCTAAGATATAAAATGCCAAATTTTCCTTAGAAGTGTATTGTTTGCCTGTAGTCTCTCTAAGCAATCCTGCCTATATTCACCAGTCCCCCTCCTACCTTGGTCTCGAGGTATCCTGTTCTCATAACTCTGACCATGCGACCTTAAGCTTGCAACTGGAGTCAAGACTCTGTGCTCCCATCTGTAAAACGGGGTCCATAACGATTTGCTTCTGTTGAAGCTTCCCAGAATCCACGCTTGGTGTAACTTAGCAAATTGTGATGGTGAGAGGACAAGCAACATGAGAAACATTTCCCCTCAACATATCAAACAAAATATTGTCTCAAATTCCTTGAACAAAACAATGCAAGAGTACAATGATGCTCTGTAGTCCCCAAAGCACAGAGGTTCGAGGCCACCAGCTGCTCTGTGGGAGAAGGATGGGCAATCTCCTCCCCTGTGATTAACTGCCTCTGAAAACCCACCAGAGGGTCACCTATGGGTTCTTACCAACTCTTTGGTATACAACAACAATATGTTAGGCTGTACTTCATAATGAAGGCTGTCAGTTTAAAAAAAGAACGTTGAAGAGTACAATGAGACGTGTTTGGAAGAAGTGAACAGAGCCTGCCGTCCATGAGGCAGATGAGAAGGCAAATGACCCAGAGAGTGAATAATTCTCCTTGAGGATCACTGACACTTCACAAAGCTTCTCAAAGCGAACTGAGCGGTTGTGTACAGTGATTAAAGCTCAAAAGACATTACATCTTCTAAGACAATATTTTTCAATTATTCATTTACATTTGTGAGCAAAACTAAAATCACACAAACATCATTGATATGTACTTGCAACCACTCATAGCTGACCCTCCTTTTGGGTTTCCAAGGTGAGAAGGAGGAGGTGAGGGTCCACCTTTTTTATTTTATTCTGCTGTTACGGACCTCTCCAAAGACTGAAGAGCAATGGTGTCTCTCTAGAGACTAAGGTGCGTCTGATACAGGCCATGATCTTTATAATCATTTGCTCTGCGTCAAATAGGTATTAATATAAAAATAAATATAAGCAGCTACAGTGGCCTAATGATAAGGAATTGTGCTAGCAGCCTAAAGAAACGGGGTTTGACTCCACCAGCTGCCCTTCAGGAGAAAGATGGGCAGTAACTCCCCTGTGATTCACTGCCTCTGAAAACTCACTAGAGGGTCCATCTCTGCTAGATGTTACACAACGACAACATATAGATATAGAAGAGACATATATCTAAAGAACCTACTTCTCTTGTTGGGCCTACTTATCTATCCTTTTTTTTACAGAGAGGCTTCTCCATGGTCATTTTCCCCATCCCTATGAATTTATTTACTTACTTTGTTTTTCTGTCAATTATAATCTTTATCACACTTTGTCACTATTTTGTTGATGTTTTTCTTAGTTGCTCCCTCCCTTCCTAAAACAAAAGCTGTTAAAAGTAAGAGGTTTATGGAGCTTAACTTAGATCTGACACTGCCCTACTAAAAGCTTAATAGATGTAAGTAAGAACATCAGATTTATATTCAGAAACCTCTGTGCCCTCCAGGATATCAGAGTTCCTCAGAAATTGATAGTCCTTGGAAGTCAACCAAGCTTCGAACCAGTTCTTCCTGGTTCAGTCATGGCAGACAAGCAAGATGCAAATGCAATGGCATCTGTAAAATATGACTGAACTTAGCTAATGACAAGGACAGGAAAAGATTCCATAGCTGCTACATATTTAGTCATCTTGTGAAAAAAAGGGCAGCCTGTGTTTTGCACAACTAGGTCTCTGGATGCCCAAAGCCAGAAACAAAGGTGCCCCACTTAATGAGGGCGGTAAACCACTGTGCTTTGAAAGTGTGTCACTTACCACAATCCTGGCAGTAGTCCAATCTCCTGCATCAGCTTCGTGAACAGACTCAGTCTGCCTCTTCTGAGTTTCCAATTCTGAGGCCTCTGACCCATGATTTTTACCATTGTGGTGGTCCTTCTGCTTCACTCAAGTCTTAAAAAATAGGATAAATTTAAATCTTAGGGGATTTGATTTAACACTTCATAGAGGGTTGTGTTGCTCACCCTAAGTGGTGCCTTTGTGGCAATTAAAATCCACCAGCATCTCCATGGACCATGGAAGAAAGATCGGCAATTTCTTCCACACTATTTACAGCTTCTAAAAATCCACTGGAGAGTCAGAGATGAGTTACAAGTCTTTGGCAGATAGAGAAAGAGAGAGAGATCTCCAATTTTGCTTGATTATGTATTACTGAATCTGTTCAAACCTGGCCAGAGGACCCGTCTCCTCATTAGTGAAAGAATAATAATTAACTTCTTAGATAGGATGTGAGCATCAAAGAAATAGACTGGCATGCAAGGGGTGCTGAAAGAGAACAGGTGGTACAGATTCTGCAACATGATATGCATACAACAAGAAGGTAAATGAAAAGCCAGAGAATGAGAGAAAGAGGCTTCATGAGGCCTCAAATAGGAAACAGCTATCCACAAATTAACATATTCTAAAAGGGAAATAACAGAATTGAGCAAGAGAGCTTGAGACTACCTAGATTCCAGGTATGGTGTTCTTAGTAACTCCCTATTCAGTAAAGTCTGTATTATTCTGTTGTTTAAACACTAGGAAGCCTGCTTGCCTACCTACTAAAACACAGAGAATGAATGGGACAGACAAAGGGCGGCAAAGCGGAGTTATCGCAGCCTAGATAAGAGGCTCCATGCACCTTTTTATGCTTAGCTGTTCTTTGTCCTCTGCGCTTTCTGATATTGTCTGATTTAATCTGTTTACCTTTGGAAAAGCGGTTAACTAATTCATGTTTTATTAGCAATTAAAAAAATCAAATAACTGAGAATTTAGTTGATCCGGGAAGGAAATCTTGAAAATAAAGTTTTCCCAAGCAGGCCATTGCAGGCACTAGAAGTCAAGTCAGTGAGTCAGGCACCGGGAGTGTAACCTGCTGGGAAGAATCCTGGCAAGGTGCAAAGTACCATTTTCATTTTAAAATTTAAGTTCAAGGCAAAGACTCCTTGTGGTTGACTCCATTTTAACTCAAAGCAGCCCCATGGAGCAGAGGAGAAATGTCCATTAAGGTTTCTAAACAAATGACTTCCTCTTTTTCTTGTGCAGCACCTGGCAAGTTCAAACCATCAACCTTCTAGCTAGCAGATCAGAATTTAACTGTGTTGCCAGGTCCCAGATTGAAATTTCCATAAAGTGAAAGGCACAGTTATTTGCTATACAATTCCATGAGTTTTGGCAAATGCTTAGAATCGTATAACCAGCAGCACACTCAGGATACAGAACAGTTCACTCATTCTAAAATGTGGACAAGTGTAATTAGGGATACATTTTTAACAGTATATTTATAGGGACACTTAAAAAATATTTGTTTTTATTTTATATTGGTTTGTATACAAAATTCATATTTGTGTTTCACACATTCTTCTGCTCACATATTGGGTCCTCTGCTCATACTGTGTTTCACAATATCATTCCCATACATGGTGTTTCATAAAAATGTTGTTAAGTGCCTTCGAGTTGTAGACGACTCATAGCGACTTTATGAATGAAAAACCTGAGCACCGTTCATAGAGTTTCCAGAGGCAAGTCATTTAGGAAGTGTACCCCACTTATGCTTCCAAGCTTGTTTTAATCCGGATGCTCCACCAAACACTGTCCACCATGGGTAACCATTAATGCATTTGTCACATCAGTTTCACAGTGTTTAGCATCACAGCAACCATAAGTTACCTCTGTACAGCAATGCACTAAGAAGAATGTTTCACAAAAAAACAATATAAACCAGGCCTGAGGAGAGCAGATTAAAATCACCCACCTTGGGCTTCGTAGCATAACTTTCTGTCCACTAGACCAATGTCGCTTTCTCTGTGTTGTTGCTGTTATTATTGCTCTGTTGAGTTTTAGATGACTCATAGTGATGCTTTTTATTTTTATAAAAATAATCGCCATTAATCCATTCCCACCATTACCCTACCTTTCAGTTCCCCATTGATCTTTGCTAATTCCTTCACTCCCTCCTTCTGCCCACCAAACACTTTGACCTCTGATTCCTCTCTCTTCTCCCCATTAACCTTCCCGCTCCCTCCCTTCCCTCTTTGGACTTTTGGACACATCTTA